GCGGTTCCTTTGCTGGTTGCCCCTCTGTTGGGGGGTGAACGAAAGGGGGAAACAGGCCCTGACCCTCGCCAGGAAGGAGAGAACACGCGGCGAGCGAAAAAGACGGAGCGGCGCGGCGCGACCAGTTGGAAAAAGACGGCGGACTGGTCTACGGTGAGGGTGACACGACGCCGGGGGGTTCAGTCTGTGTTCGCCCATCAGAGACACATCACCAGCCACGATACGGTCCGGTTACGTATCTCTTCGACGCGAGGATAACTCCTCGCAGCCAGGTGTTGCCCGTATCTTGGACAAACGAGATCTTTGCCTTTCTTACACGCTTCGACGCTTTGACAACGTTCTGGGACGTTTACACGGTGACGAATTACACGGTTTCATGGATCGATCCCAGAGATTGGAGCGAGGGAACGGTGAGAAACGAGAGTTCGTCGTGATTTCAACGTAAAACAGGTGTTTCAATCGAGTATCAAATTCGAAATATACGTATATATTTATATACGTATGCATAATATGTAAAGTTTCTTCAAGTTTTGTGATTTTATTATATATTACGACCGTTGATCGATAAAGGAGGAAAGATTAGATCGAGATTGATCGTCCGATCATCGAGAAAATTGGACGAAGAGAACCGTTAGTGCGTTGTCAAACGTGTTTAATCGCCAATTTCGGAAAGAGTAACGATACGAAAGAGGAAAACGTTTTTTTTTCTTTTTTTTTTCTTTTTTTTTCTCTCTCTTTCTTCTTCTCCTCTTGCTCGAAAAAACAACACGTGGATTCTCGAAAAAATCGATTGTAAAACAATCGTTACACGTACGTGCTCGTTACGACACAATCCTGTGTCCTGTATCGTCGATTTATTTTTTCGACGTAGAACATTAAAACATTAATTCGATGCAGTGTTAAACACTTATTATGTGAATCAAAGTTGTGACAAACAAAGAAACAGCAAATCGTCGTTTCTTCGAATGATCGAAGAGTGATCGTTAAAGTGTATTTATTATAAAAATCATTCGAGAGTATCGCGTTGACAATCGTCGAAAAAGTGCTACGGCGTGATTCTTCCTCGCGAAGAAAAGAACCGAATAAAAACGAGGTAAAAATCTTTTCTTACGCGTTAATAATATACCGAATAATCTCGATCCCTCCCCTGATCTAATTTCCAATGTTTCCCTTGATATGATCGATACGTAAAGCATCGCGGCGCTAAGAGAATCTCTCGAATCTCTCGAATCTCGAGAGAAATTCGTGGACGCGCATTCGAAAGACAGATCTCGAGAGCGATCTTTGTCGATGCGATTCGTGGATACGAACCGCGTGACGTGAAGATGCTCGGATCGGGCTGACACTTTGGCATTTATCGTTTCGATCGATCGAACGACAAACGTATATATATATATATATAGGAAATTGAAGAAGAGAAGAAAAGAGGAAAAAAAGAAGAAGAAGAAGAAGGAGAAGAAGAAGAAGAAGGAGAAAGAGGAAGAGGAGAAGAAGGAAAAGGAGGAGGAGAAGGAGAAGGAAGAGGAGGAAGAGAAGGAGGAGGAGGGGGTGGAGAGTAGTGGACGAAGTGGAAAGAAAAGATAGTGGACGAACGGGTGGTGCGACGTTCGGGTACGCACGTCGACAGGCCGGCTCTGGGGTGCCGGGCCCGGGCGGGGTGATGAGCTGTTCCGAGGTGATGTATCAATATTATCCTTACCTCTACCAGAGGCCACCGCCGCCACCACCGCCGCACCCGACTCACCCTCATACGGCCCCGCACACCCATCCCCACACGAATCCACATGCGGCCCACGACAGCCCTACAAGGTCGGCGTCTTTTCAATCCTTCTCCGCGGCCACGGCGACGCATCAATACGACAGGGTAAGTTCGATATATCTACCTTATTTTCGTTTCTTGTCTAACGTATCGAGATGTATCGTTTTCCATATTTTACCAAGATTCCTACGAGTCCGTTACCTCGTTATTTTATACGCGGAAACGAATACACTTTCGTACGTATCGATAAGAGACGGTTCGTGATCGTTGAGATATTGGAAAATTTAAACGATTTTTGTCAATCCTCATTCTCGATGCGATTCGTAAGCGAACGTGACACGTCGCGCGTTCGTATACAACTCGTTTTTAAAAATGATCGCAGTTTTCACTTACCGATTGGGCCGTCCCGACATCCGATTCCTTGTTCTCGTGACGCTAACAAAATAAATATAAATCGCGCAATTTCTTATTCGACTTTTATGCCGTTATAACGCGCTACGTATTATTCTTTCTCCGAACGAAATTTTCTGGCCGATGGATGATATCGCGGGTGTCGAATTATCTCGTTAGATAGCTTCCTCACCCCAGCTCGCTATTTGTCGCTCGTATATCTCAAACGTGGTACCGTTACTGGATTCGAATTAGCCGAGTTTGTTTCGAAACTGGAGAAACTAGTTTGTCGATTCGAATCGACAACGTGATCCATGGGGTGGTCGAGTAATGGAAAACTTGATTCGAGAAAAGTTTCTCCGGATCGACGTGGATGGTCAGGGAAAAAAATCTCGATCGTTGGTCAAAACGAAGCGTTTCATCGGAAATTTATGGGACGACGTATCGTATGATATAGAATTATCGTGTTTTTTTTATCATTCGTTTTCTTTCATTCTTGAATAATATAAAAAATAAATTCAAAATAATTTATTCGATGAATCTCACTTGTCGAATAAATGTGCGTAATTACAAGAAAGATTTAGTTATTTAATACATATTGAAATTATCGAATATCGTAACGCGTATTTAGATATTTTATTTTTAATATACGCTGCTATCACTGTACAATAACGACTATTTTCGGTCGGATGGATTTTAAATCATCGCGATATAGATACCATGTTCGTATCTCGTTAAATTTTCGCGTTAATTCGAATATTTTGCGACGGGAAATTTATCGTTATTATAAAATATAATTAAGATATTCGAGACGAAGGAATAATGATAGATTATTATTTAATAAAACGATAGAAATTCTTTATGAACGCATTTCAAGCTATTAGTTGAATATACGAGCATTCGTTTTCGGCGAGCCTTTTTAAAACCATGATTACGAATTTCCGTGAATCTCGAATTATTTTCTGCATACCTCGCATTCACGACTGCGTATTTTAATAGGAATACCATTACGACGTGTCTGATCTCCGCAAGTTGAGCGATCATCGTTTGTGAAATAACGATAAATACGAATGTTGATGAAAATTTGTCACGCGAAAGAATCCACGAACCGAGATATAGATTTAGATAAGTTCGTTTACGAATTATCTAGAAAAATATTCGAAATATTTTCGGTAGGATTCGCATCGATATCGTGGCATATCATCGATAATTTCGAATAAAAAGGATTTAATATAATAACCTATCTATTAATATATCTAAATTCGTATTGATGGATGCGTAAAAAAAATTGATAGATTCGAGTGTGTATCTGTACTCGGTATTAAAAATTAATAACGATTTCAAACGATATAAAAACGATTTTCTCAAAAAGTATCGGACGTGAAATAGAAATTCGGGAAACGTCTTTTTAAAAGTCGCGCGAGCCGACAAAAATAGACCCATTATACGATAATATGTTTGTAAACGATCCAACCAGCTTTTCCAATGTTTTAGTTTGCGCAGAGTTTACGAATTCTCGCTTTTAGTCGGTTGTCCTGAAATAGTTTACCAAGACGAGAGACGAAACGAGAGTTTCTACGAGTTTCATTCCGCGTGGGGATCCTCTGCCGCGTCATTTTAATATCACCGTCTGCTCGAAGCATGAGCCATCCCATGGTGTTTCTTCCCATTCCATGAACATACCCGTATTATCTTTTTATTGCTTTTTTAAATATCCTTTTTCTCATTTCTCATCTCTTTTTTTATTCATCTCGACTTTTTGCTTTTGCTTTTTCCCCTTCTTTCGATCCGATTCAAATGAAAAGAGAAAAATTGATCGTAGAGAGGGAATAAAAAAAAAAGTGCATTATTCGTGGAAATAATTTCGAAACACAAGTTGCATCGAGGATAACGTTCTTCTCGTAGACTCCGCGCTGAAGAAAAAAACGTAGCGACGCTTGGATCGACGAGGAATTTCCCTCTAATGCTCCGGCAATGCGTCTTCCCGATCATTCCATTCGTTGTTTGCCCAAATACGACGCGCGTAACGTCTCACTGATTGCCGTTCCATCGGACACGCTTGCAATTTGTCGTCGTTATATCTGGCTGATCGTCGCGATAAAATCAGGAATCGGTCTCTATCGTAGAATTGTGATCCGCGATGAAGTAGTATTAATAAATAATTTGGAATTTATAAATAAGTTTCAATTATTTTCGATAAAATTGAAACGATTTATATGCAAAATATATAGATGCAGAACGAGCGATCGAATTAACGAGTGGGTATCCGCAAAAGCGTTTCGATCGTTCCAAATACAATCGGTTCGCGAACGGGAAGAGTGGAAAATGATAAACGCCATCACGCGAGATGGAACGCGATAATATCTTATATAACCGATACCACGGTCGGAACGATAAATAATAAGTAATGGCCGGTATTACTCGGTCGACATTGAGAGGAATGTCGGGACGAGGATGAGATATTATCCACTTGAATTGTTTATCACGCGGTAAATTATACGAGGCGAGTGTATAATATGGTTGAGAGGAGGTCGGAGATCTAACCGCGTCTAAACGAGATATAGATCTTCGATACGGCGAGAATTAGCGAAGAGAAATTTGCGAAGCCGACAGTGAGTGTATCGGTTCTCGGGAAGAAAACATTATTATCCTTTGGACGGTTGTCGAACGAGAGGACGGTTGAAAGGGAAGCCGATGCTGTTTCGTTGCAGTACCGTTAGGCCGAGAGAAGGCGAAAAACGCGTGTTCTCCGCGTTCTCCACGCGATACTCGGATAACAGAGGGGAATCGCGGTTGGCGCAAGGTCGATCTCGATGCTCGGACAGGTTTCTCGCGAAGGAGCACCACGCGGTCCCCATGGCGGGGTCCATGGTGCGATCTCGAGGCAACTTTTCTTCCCGAAAGTCCCTCGTTTTCGCTCGAGGGAAGTTGACCACGCGGCGGACGGTCCACGGCGACACGAGTTTACTTTTATTTAAACGTTCCTTCTTTCCTTTTATTTAGGGCCTGACCCAAGGGCGCTCATTTTGTTCCTTTGCCGGCGCTGACCGGTGTCCACCGGCTCTGAATTAATAGCCTCGCGTTTTTCGCTGTGCTGTGGCTAATATACGCGCGCGTTTCTCCCTCTTTCTCTTCTTCTTCTTCTTCTTCTTCTTTATTTTCTTCTCCTTCTTCTGCTTCTTCTACCCATCCCTTCCTCTCTCTTTCTCTTTCTCTCTCTCTCTCTCTTCTCGTTTCTTCGTCTGGTCCTGCTATATTCCTTTCTCGTTTTTCTCTTCCTTCCTGCCGTGGCCATCTTCTCTCGTGTGTACGTACAGACGGTATACGCCTCGACGCGACGGGGTTATACCAGCGCGTTAAAAATCTTTGCCAGAGCCGTTTTCTCACGCCGCTACGAAACCGCACGCGTGCTTTATCGTTTCAAGCTTTGGGATCCAACCTTGCTTCTCGAATCCCTACCATCGCGATATCAGCTTTTTCTCGTTTCTTCTAGAGAGAAATGGAAATTGAAAACGATCACGTCGAAAGGAAAAAATACGCACAATTCGATTGCGCGATATAATATAATGGCTATGCATCGCGGTTAATCGATCGCGGGTTATAAATTCTCGTTACGATCGATTTTTGGTTCGGCGAATGGGCGAGATTTAAAATTCATTTACGATCGCGATTATTTTTCACGAGTCGGTCCTCGAACTCGGTTTTAAATGGCCGCGGAAGCCCGTCGATAGATCATGGTCGCGACGCTGGACCTCCGCGTTATTCGATCTTAATCATTTTTATCGCGCGATGGGACAGCCGCGCGTTTGCAGCACCGGGGGCGACCACTCGGTTGGTTATCTTGGGATCGCTAGCGACGAGAACGCTAAATGCCGATAACAGCGGGACACCCATGGCTGGCTCGCGACGCCAAACACCGGGATTCACGTGTAAAACAACCGATTCGACCGCAATATCCCCTTCGAAAGGATCGTTAATCCTTCGCGTCCACGCTGCCACGACAACAACCTTGTCTCGAAAAGAGCTTGATTTAACGATCTGTCAAATGTTTCAGTTTTAATCCTTTAATCGTTCGATTATGCTTCATACGAATAACGTATTTGCAAAATTCCCCCTTATAATTCGTTACGTTTCCCTTATAAATAGGAACGTAAATACGTGTATACGTTCTTACGATAATTCTCCGTAATGGATAAATTTCTCGCTAGAGATTTTTGTTCGGATTTTCTCGACGCAAAGTTGAATTCGTACCAAATCCGATTTTAATTCTTCGCTTCTTCTTAAAACGAGGATATATCCGTTTGGTATATAAAAATTCGGATGTATCGTTGTCGCGAGATAAAGCGACAATAGTTTTGGAGATAGAGCGAGGAATAATCTTGGATCGTTTATCATATTTAACGTGACGTATAAATTTCAATTTGTGCGAAAAGTTGCAAAGTTGAGAAGCGAAGGCTGGATCTGGTCGCGTTCGTGGCCGGTCTGATCGCTACGCGAGACCACGCGAGTACGAAAGGGAGAAGACAGGTGCAAGCTGCTTAGCTCCGAACCGAGTAAGAACTTTGCCGTCCTTCGTTAGCACTCTTGTTGCGAATGAACTTGTGTTTCTTGGATCGCGTATCGGATTGGAATCGTCTTTTCTGTAGATTCATTTGCGCTTTTCTCGCACTCTACTTTGAAAAACGGTACTACTTTGATGTTTCGCCCATTCTTCG